TACTAGAATCAAGGCTGAACACCAGCTATAGTTACACAGTTGTAAATTAGATTCTAATTTTCTACACTCCCCCTGAAGCTGGGTTATAGTTATCAGTCATACCTAGCTTGTATCTCAAATCTTTAAAACTCATTCTAGGAAGAGCCTTAGTAAGGATGTCGATTGTCTGGAAAGTAGTTGGAGTGTAAACCATTGAGATGATTCTTTCTTCTATCTTCTCTTTAATAAAATGTCGATCGATTTCCACATGTTTTGTTCGATCGTGATGGACTGGGTTCTTTGCAATGCTTATGGCAGCTTAATTATCACAGAACATCTTCATAGGATCTTCTAACTGAATTTGCAGTTCCTGTAAAAGTCTTTTTAACCAAATTCCTTCACATATTCCTTGTGCCATAACTCTAAATTCTGCTTCTGAACTGCTTCTTGCTACCACTGGTTGTTTCTTGGTACGCTAGGTAACCAAATTTCCCCATACAAACGTGTAATACCTTGAAGTTGATCTTCGGTCAGTTATGGACCCAACCCAATCAACATCGGTAAATATCTCCACATCTCTTTTTTGTGTTTTCTTGAAATACAATCACCTTATTGGAGTCATTTTTAGATATCTTAGAATTCGATAAACAGCTTCCATGTGTTCCTCAGTTGGATTATTCATGAATTGACTAACCATGCCGACTGAAAAACTGATATCAGGCCTAGTGTGAGAAAGATAGATAAGTTTTCCAACAATTCTTTGATATCTTCCTTTGTCAACTGGAGCACTTCCTTTTGCAACTCCCACCTTTGTAGTATAATACATAGGTTTATAGCCAAGCATGCCAGTTTCCTTCAATAAATCAAGGACATATTTTCGCTACGAGACAACAATTTCCTTCTTTGATCGAGCAATTTCCATTCCAAGGAAGTATTTAAGATTTCCCAAGTCTTTGATTTCAAACTCTTTAGCAAGGAATTTCTTGAGATTACTTATTTCCTCCTCATGATCTCCTGTCAAAATTATATCATCTACATATACAATGATGATGGCTAATGCTCCCCCAACAGATTATCTTACGAATAAGGTATGATTAGATTGACATTGTGAATACCCAACTTTTTTCACAGTCTTGGTAAAACGGTCAAACCAAGTTCGAGGGGACTGTTTAAGCCCATAAAGAGATTTTCTGAGTCTGCATACCTTGTTAATATTAGCTTGAGTCTCCAATCCTGAGGGAATTTTGCATATAAACTTTTTCTTCTAGGTCACCATTAAGAAAAAAAAATTCTTGATATCTAGTTGATGAAGACACCAGTCACGGTTTGCAGCCAGGGATAACAAGACTCTGATTGTGTTCAATTTCGCAACAGGTGCAAAAGTCTCTTGGTAGTCAATTCCATAGGACTAAGTGAAGCCCTTTGCTACAAGTCATGCTTTAAACCTGTCAATACTTCCGTCTGCTTTGTATTTTATTGTGAAAATCCACTTGAATCCCACTGGATTCTTCCCTTCTGGGATTACCGTAAGTTCCCATGTGTCATTCTTTTCTAAAGCTTTGACTTCATCTTCAATGGAAGCTCTCCACTTAGGTACTTGTAGTGCTTCTTGAACATTGTCCGGAATCTAAATATCAGTAAGATTGGCAACAAATGCACGATATCTTATTGACAAATTTTTGTAAGAGATGAAGTTATAGATTGGGTGGCTTGTGCATGATCTAGTTGCTTGTTAGTAAACGACCCAGTTACACAGCGGAAAACAAAAAACATAAACTCTATGGATCGTTCCTTAGAACCAAGATCCGGGTACAAAAATCATAGTTTACATTAAAATAATCAAATATGCAAAAATCATTTCAAGGTTTAAGAAACCATACCCACGTTTGGAGGCTCCACCAATATTGTCTCTGAACGTGTTTGCTACCGATCCAAGTGTAGGATCGAACCGTAGAGGTCCACACGAAGACAATCAACAAGAACCAAGGAGGGATTTGCTAGATCCTCCTTGGCCTTAAGAAATCAAGAAGAAAAACAAAAGGTGTTTGTTTTTCAATGGAACAGTAAAAGTGGCGTGGGAGAGTTTTGAGGTTGGAGGTTTCTCTCTTTTCAAATGAAGAATGAAAATAATAAAATAACACACATCCACCTTTTCAACTAAAACCTTTTTGTTTTATAGTTGTTATTTTAGTTGCCCTATTCCCATATGGAATGGGCTTGGGCTCCAACCCAAACACCCCAAAATTTGCCAAACACTCCCATTTAGATATTTTTTAATTTAATCCATCATTATCTCAATTAAAATCAATTAATATATATATTTAATATATATATTAACATTTAACAATAATGATAATTTATTTGAATATATGCGAACATATATTTAAATGGAATTTCAATTATTTAATTTTTCTAACAAATTAAATAAAGGCTACGGCCTCAGAAAATTTAATTGCACTGTGAAATTACCAAAATACCCTTTCGCCCAAAAAGACGAAAACGCCCTTGTTTCTTCTTGAGTCTTAAATTATCTTCTATGTGTGTGACCCATAGACCCCTCATCATACCGGTAGTGTATAGTATCACGATTAACACCAATTAATCGTCTCACTTATACACAGATCAAGATTGGCCCCTAACAAGGCATCATGGCCACCCGATAGATTCGGATTCAGCAAAATAGCTACCTGTCAACGATATGGTTACCGTACAATACGATCCTTTCATCATACGTTATCTCTACGAGACGAAGACATAGAAATAGTGTCAACCTTCGGTTACTCTCGATATTATGTATTCAGTTTCTAGACCAATGACCTGTATTATAATTCGGATAGAGCAACAACTCAATCCCACTGTAGCCATAGTTTTAGTGTCATCGCCATATACTGAATTACGCTGTGAGATAACTTCTCCCGTACTCGGGAGTGATGAATCCTCTGTCAATCCACCATAGTCTTGATACACTCCTCGATGTAGCCAATCACCACCGTATTGACAGCTCTGAAAAGAACTGCATTAGGCTAGTGTCAAACTACACCAATCGGTGCACAAGGCGCTCCGGTGATCTCAAGTCTAAGGATCACATGCACCACCATTCGTTAGAGGATTTGTTCCATAGACACTGGGGTTACCATCCATATGGAATCCTCTGGTGGGTCAGTCCAGTGAACTTGCTGTGGTGTAATCGCCTACAACAAACACCCATGTGTTGCACCAGGTTGTCACCAAACAACCTTGACAAGTGAGATCAGTCACTGCCTTTCGACAGGGTCGTTCAACACTATGATAGCCTTACCGTATTATCTGTGCCCTTAGTTCAGAATAATACTGGGGCTACGGACGTTTCTAGAATGGCCACCATATGTGCTCATAGGGTTCTCACTATCAAGATTTGAAACACTTGATACCCTCGTCACGGCTCTACCATTCTAAGGACATATATCAATACATATTGCAATAATAATGATTTACGCGATATAGTATAAAATGCCTTTTATTGATTAATGAACATTATTACAAAGAGTCAATTCTACAATAATTGATTGGCTCTAGGGCATCTACTCTAACATTGCTTTTCTTTTTGCAATAGGTAAATCAAGATCATTATTCTCTACCTGATCAGACTCAATGAGATCGTTATTAGTGTTACCTGAAGGTGTTTCCTTTGGATTTGGATTCAGTTCATCTTCATGGACTAGTTTGGGATGTGTTTGGTCCTCTATATCTTCTTGATTTTCCTTCTTTTTCTTGGAATAGACAATGAGCTCGTTGTTTTCCACAGTTTGAGGTTGAGTTGGTTGAGAAATGAGTGGAGTTGGAGTACTTGACTTGGCTTCAGAAGGATTAGACTCAGAATTGATAATGAGCATTTCAGATTCAGGTATTCTTATTGGTATCTCGGCTATGGGAGCTATAGGTGTCTCGATAGGTTTTGTTTCCCAAAATTGGTATTCTTGGATTCTATTCTCCCCCCGAATATCATTTTTGGGATAATATGGCTAGTTTTCAAAAAATTTTACATCCATTGTGTTGTAGATTTTCTTGTGATGGGGGAGTAACACTTGTATCCTTTTTGACTCGATGAATACCCTAGAAAGATGCACTTAATAGCCCTTGGATCAAGTTTACTTTGGTTTGGTTGTTTATTATAAACAAAGGCCATACAACCAAACACTTTTGGTGGAAGAGTGGAAATTAGCTGAGTATGAGGATATGATTTGAGTAGGATTTGACAAGGAGTTTGGAAATTTAACACACGAGAAGGCATTCTATTTATGAGATAAGTGGCAGTGAGAACAACTTCTCCCCAAAAAATTTTTGGAACACTGGTGGAGAACATGAGTGATCTTGCAACTTCTAACAAGTGCCTATTTTTTCTTTTAGCTACCCCATTTTGTTGTGGGGTATCAATGCATGAACTTTGATGAAGTATTCCTTCTTTTAACAAGTAATTACCTAGAAAAGAATTGAAATAATCCTTTGCATTGTCGGTTTTCAAAACTTGTATTTTGACATGGAATTGTCTTTGAATCATGGTATGAAAGTTTTTGAAAATTTGACTTACTTCAGATTCGTCTTTCATTAAGAATACCTAAGAAATTCTAGTGTGATCATCAATGAATGAAATAAACCATCTAGTGCCAGTAACATTTCTTATTCTAGATGGTCCCTAGACATCACTATGAATCATTGAAAAAGGGTAAAATGGTTTATAAAACCGAGTTGGGTAAGAGTTGTGAACTTGTTTAGATAATTGACATATTTCACACTGAAAATTCTTGGAATTATTCTTAAATAACGATGGGAAAAGTTTTTTGAGATACATGAAATTAGGATGACCCAATCGATAATGCCATAACATAACACTATTCTCATTATTTGGAACACAAACAGAAAAAGATAATTTTTCACCACCTGTGGACTGAGGTTGTTTTTTAGGAAAATCAGTGGTCTTGAGGATATAAAGGCCCGAACATATATCAACACTGCCAATCGTCTTCCCCAAATCTAGATCCTTTTTAGGCCAAAGATCCAGATCCTAGGACAGAATTGGAATTGGAAGATGATGAACCTTGTGTGGATTGAGTGATCAATTTTTGTAGAATTTCCAATTGTTCCTTGCTGAATGGACTTGGGTTTAGATATGTTGGTTTATCCTCAACTGAAACATGGTGGCCACGACTTTCCCTAGGTTTCCAATTTTTTGGTTTGCCATGAATTTTCCAGCAGGTATCCTTGGTGTGACCTGGTTTTTTGCAATGATCGCACCAGGGTCTTCCTCTCCTTTGACAGTTGTCATTGGATGAGGAAAATTGTTCCCTTACAACAAGAGCAGATCCCTCAGTAATCTGTTGATTGTTTTGAGTACCTAACATAACCTTCTTTTGACTTTCTTCTCGGTGGACCTCTAAAACTACCTCTCGGATGTTTGGTAGAGGTTTAGTTCCCAAAATTCTACCTCGAATTTCATCAAGATTCTTATTTAGGCCTAATAAGAATTTGTATATTTGTTTCTTTTCCACAATCTTTTTGAAACTTGTTGCATCAGCACTATAGTTCTGCTCGTGGGTCTCATGTAAGTCAAGCCGCTGCCAATAGTGATTGAGACGGCTGTAGTACTGAGTGACTAGTAAATCCCCTCGATGCAAATCATGAAGTATTCCTTCTATCTCAAAGGATTCTGCAGTATCTTCTTTATCTGAGTATGTTTGCTTGGCTGCTTCCTAGATTTCTTGCGTAGTTTCATAGAGTAGGAAATCATCCCCAATATCGGTATTCATGGAGTTGATCAGCCATGACATAACTGTGCTGTTTGCTGCTTTCCACCTTTTGAATATCGGAGCATCCTCAGTTGGTTGAACTATTGTTCCAGTAAGATAATCATCATTTCCTTGGCCTCTTACAAACATCATCATTGAATTAGACTATTGGATGTAGTTTTTTCCATTTAGTTTGTGCCCTGTAATGGGAAAACCTGAGCCATCAGATCCACTATGACTGCTGGACTCAGAAACTTCATGGTTGCTGTTTGAACAAGTAATTCTTTGACCAGTTGTGACTTCAGAGATGTTCTCGCTAGTTACTTCTTTATCAATTGCCATTCTGTATTTTGTCATGGCAGATTGAAATAACGGTATTTAGGCTGAGAGAAGAGCTTTCAACAGGTTGAGAGAGGTTTCAACAGGAAGAGCTGAGAGATTTCAGTAGGAAGAACTGAGACAAGAGATGGTAGAGAGGTTTCAACAACTTTGCTCTGATACCATGTAGATTTTTGAGAGAACAACAAATGCTTTATTATGTGATGATTATGGCTAGAAACAGACCAGCTATTTATACAAGTTTTGGACAAACTAAAAAAGAAAGAAATAAAAAATCCCTGATTTTAATACAAGAATCAAGGCTGAAGATCCCTGATTTTCATATTAGAATCAAGGCTGAACACCAGCTGTAGTTACACAACTGTAAATTAGATTATGATTTTCTGCACTTGTCTCTTGTTTATTCAATGTGTAAGAAAAAAAATATTTCTTTTGTCTGTGGTCCCAAAATGTCTTGTGCAAAAAGAAAGACATAAAAGTTAAAATTTAACTTTTTTGTGCCCCAACCTTTAATGTGTTGATCACTTTATATTCTCCCGTTTTGTTTTTGTTTCACTAGAAACCTAATTACATTGTTTTGCCTCTCTGAATATTCTCTGAGGTTATAGTTTTTGCTAAGGTTTCTTACTATGCTTTGGTAGGCTTAAAATTACTTTCATCACTTATCCTTGTGTAAGATCTAATGTTGGTTTCTTTGTGAAAAAAAGCTTGAGTGCAAGTTACTATCCTATCTTCATCGTTGAACCTTGAGAGGAACTCTTCTTCAACATGACATTGTTGTGTACATGAAGCTTGCTGTGATGGCTTGAAGTTTAACCAAAGAAGATAGAATTGTTGAGTAGAAAACAGGGAGTGTTTTACTACTATGGTTATCTTGCTTTGTATTTGAACTCATAAGTATTTTATAGTGAATTTGTTTCCTCTGGATATGGTCCCACGGATGTAGGCTTGATGCCAAACTATGTAAAAATGAACGTGTTCTTTACTTGGTTTTATGTATGTTTTAATTCAGTTATTCTCAACTCATTTGTACTAAATTGAACAAACAATCCATTCCGTATAAGTTTTAATCACTTGGTAACCCCTTTAAAACTTACACAATGGTTTTTCCTTTAGCCTTGGCAATCTCTTCTTGCACATCACATTCTACAATCCTATTATCTCCCCATTTGGTGTTATGTGCACCCAGAAGAGAATAGGCTGTTACGTGAATACCCTTTGTCTTACAAAACTCACTCAGCTTCTTCTGCTACCACATTGGGTTCATCTCAACCTATAAAACAAAATCAAGAAAGAAGAAAGTACCCATTAGAGCTAATAAAACTATAATAAACTGTTCATAAGTAAATGTATATTAATTACTTAGTTGACAGCGGGAGGAATATTGGCAATGGATAAGAGCTCCTCAAGCTTCTTGGAAGCGAAGTTGCTTACGCCAATGGCCTTTGTGAGGCCAAGATTTTTACATTCTTCCATGCCTTCCCAGACTTTCATGTCTAAGGGCAATAACTTTTCCTTTGGTATGGGATATTGACACACTTCTAGGTTTATTTTAAATGGCCAATGTACTAGGTATAAGTCAAGATAATCCAATTGAAGATTCCTACATGCAAACAAACAAGATAACTAATTAGATTGGTTAAAGGATCCCAGATTATCATAAAACTTGTTAATCAAGTAAGTTAATTGATTTCTGAGTTATTAAAAAAAAAAATACAAACGTTTGCATTTTGAAAATCTTAACGTTAAAAAGGTAAAAAGAAATGATATGCAATACCTCAAACTCATCTTGAGAAACAAGATCCTTCTTAGCAAAGCTGCACCATAGCTTAGAAGCGATGAAGAGCTCGACTCTAGATTTTATGAGGCCAAGACGCAAAGCCTCTGCTATTGGTATATGAATGCAGTGTCAAAATGACGGTAGCCTGCTTTTATTGCCTCAATGATGGCGACTTTCGTTGTTTCTTTATCAACTGGAGGATCCACCATAGTTCCCATCCCAATCATCAGCATCGTTCCATCACCAGAGCCTAAAATCAGCTCAGGTACCACCGCCATTGTTTGCTTGTATTAAGTTGAGCACTACTGCTTGGAGATCTCTTTGCGAGCGAATGATATGTGCATGAAAAATAGTAATGGTTATATATAGGCAATGGATATATGCAATATTATCATTGTTTGGATATGTTCATTAGGATTTTGAGACGGCAACAATGAATGGCTATGGCTTTGACCTTTTGGTGAAAGTCTCAAGATGTCTCCACACCCAAAGGCTAGTTTGCATGTACAAACAAACTGACATTAGGGGTGGGATAAATAATCCGAAAACTGAATCGAAAATTAGGTTTTCTTACAAACTAGTTCGGTTTAAAAATTTTTTCAAACCGGTTAACCGAAAACCGGTTTTTAAACCGGTTTTACCCTAAATATAAAAGCAAAAAAATTATTATATATAAAATAATAAATATTTGAATTTAGGGACTTAAATGAAACATTGAAGAATTTTAAGGATTAAAGGATAATTTGAAAACCGGTTAACCGGTAACCGAACCGAAAATTCAGTTCGGTTTACATTCGGTTTTTAACAGAAACTGGTCCGGTTTTTAACAGAAACCGGTCCGGTTTTCGGTTTGGATAAACTGGTTAGGTTAACCGGATTATCCCACCCCTAACTGACATAGTTATGAATTTATATTTTGTAGAAAATAGATTAAAATATTGTTAAAATATTAATTAATTTGTTTTTTTAAATCGCACAATTTTTTTTTTTTGGAATTTTCCGCTGAAATAATGAAAGCGCATATTTAAAGTTAAAATACATAGCCGAAATCAAGACGTGATAACAGTCTCTAAAATAATGGGCTTCAACTTATGTAAAAGAGTGAAAGATGCCATCATTGTATGCAATTTGGTTAGTACGATAAGAAGAAGATTAGAGAAAAACACACAGAAAATAGAAGCTACTGGAATATGCAGTAAACATATTTTTCATCAGCATTGAGATCAAAATCTCATGTGGTTATGTTGTGCCCAAATTTCCTCAGGGTCAAACATGTAAATATCCTCTTACTGCACACACTAAATAAACAATCTATGAGATATATTCCTAGAGAGATATAATCGAAGTTCAAATATGATTCAAGAAGGAATAAGGAAGTAAAAGTAAAATAGGGAATTAAATATATATGAGACCTGTTCCTATACAACTAAGGGAAGTATTCTTCTAATATATATGAGATCCGTTCCTATACATCTAAGGGAAGTATTCTTCTAAATAAAACTTATTTAAGTAGAGGAAAACGAAGGAAATGACAACTAGTTAGAGGAAGTAATGAACATTACTGTAGCATGGATGAACGTTTACTTTTAATCATTGTTTTAAAACCCGACCCGGCCCGGCCGGTTGAACCAGGACTCGGCAGCTTCAACAAGCCGGGTTTAACTTTTTCGATTCACCCCAAAACCCTAAGATTTGGGAGGATGATCAGCGAGCAATCGACGGCTGGAAGGGTAGGGCTTTTGAAGACTAAGTTCCGAGGAATGCAATGGTGGTGACGGCATTGATTTCTGGTGAGTAAATCGACCGGAAATCGAACAAACACAATGGGATTTTTTCGGCGATTGGTGAGGCTAACGGGGGTAGGGTGAGGTGGGTTTTGGTCGGGAGGAACAGAGGAGTAATTCCTGGGTGATGGGAAGGTTTGTCGGCGCCGGCATGAATGAGATCTGGCCTGGAATACCCACGCTAGCGTTGGTGAGATCTGGCCAAAATGGAACCCATTTTGGCCAGATCATGGGTAGATTTTAACAGAAATGGGCTCAGGGGACGATTGGGGTTGCATCTAGGGTATCGCCGCTGCCGATCAATCACCGGTCGATTTTCATTTGGGGTGTGTTTGATAAGGTTCAAACATGTAGGGACTTGTAGGTAATTTTTAGGGGTGTATTTGTTGAGTTTTAAAATTTTTTATCAACCGGTCAACCCGGGACCCAGAAAATTTACCGGGTTTCACCCCGGGTTGGGTTTTAAAACATTGCTTTTAATAGGAAGTATAAATTCATTTAGTCAGAGACGTAATGAGTTTACTCTTAATAGATGAAACCATAATCTCTGATTAGATGATAGAATCAACTTATTACTCAGGCGGCGAATGAGCTTTACTCTTGATATTAGTATTACATGTAGTATGGACATAGATAACATTCATGTCTGTAGGAGTGCATTTGAGTATAAAAATATTCACTCACAAAATTTGTAATCAAATTTAATCTCATAAATTTTTCCCTTTTTTGTTAATTACCTAGATTAATGAAGAGCAAGTGAGAAAGTTTTAGAAGTGGAGCAGAAGTATAGTGAGATACGCAAGCCAGTCTGTTATGCCTAGAAAAGTAGGACTGACGCAGAACCCTGTCAGCGTAAGCGGTCAGAGCTTAGGTAAGTCCTGCAGCCATTCAAACGCAGCCACGTTGCACGTTGACGCAAGCGGCATGCTCCTGCTAGTGCAGTGGGTGTGCGCCAGGCTGGTGAAAGGCTAGAGACGATCCACGTGTCCAATCCCTGTAAACGTCGAGTAAATCACTCGAGCAGCTGAATAAAGGGACGCAAGGAAGGATTTGCATGGCAATCTGACCCACTCCTTGATTTAGTAATGATTACCTCAACTCATCCCACTATAAATAGAGGGTTCCTCTCCCGTTTGTGGGATTAGCTAATTTATCTTTGGAATAGCATATATATACTCTTTCTCTTTCTCCTGTAATCTCTTGTAAGTCAGCTCGCTGAACGCGACCTGACCTTATATAGGATTTGCTTACTTAAGCATCTGAACCACTTTAAACACTATTCTTCATCCTCTATTCAGTTCAATACCCCTGTACACGTGTGTCTTCTAAGTGAGCTCAACATTTCTCACGTGCGTTTAGTTGGTGTCAAAATCACGCATCAACAGTTTGGCGTTAGAAGGAGAGCCTGATTTAGTATTTGTCCTTCATCAAGAGAATCTCTGACTAATCGGTCCAACATCAAATGACTCACCAATTCGAATCTAAGTGACCTCATCATGGTGAGGAAGAGATCCCATAGGTACAAGAGGACACTTCTTTCGAAGTGCCCCTAGTCCCGCAAAATTTTGTGGGGGATATCCCTTCAAGCTCACAGCTTGATCCAGCCGTCATGAGCTACTTGGAGAGGTTCAATAATACTCTCCAAACGGTCAACCAAAGGCTGGACCGCTTGGATTGGGTCGCGTCGCCCGAATCAAATGATTCGGTGCCACCGCCAAAAATGCCTGCAAGTCACATGAAAGCTCAGAAAAAGGGCGATAGCCCGTGCCGCGCTTACTGCAACGCGTCAAAGGAAGGGAAAACATGTGGAGAACAATGGGCCTAGAGGCTCCGAGGGACTAGCGAACACCGACCTCACCCCTGGTAGAATACCCGTGGTACACAGACTCGGTGACATGTCACGGCCCGAGCTGTCCCGTGCCACGTCGCACGAGCACTCCCATAAAAGTACAAGGTAGGGAGATTCCCATTATCGCCAAAATGACAACTCCGATCATCATCGTGTGGGAAGTTCCCACCGTCTGCGGGTCGGTTCGCACCACCGTAGAGGTTGGGAAGGTTCCCCAGACCATTCAGCGCCATCACACGACTCTAGCCAGCGTGTGTCAAAAGTGGTCAGAACTGCCGATCAAGGTAAGGAGGAATCCGACCTTCAGACTTTCCTCAACTGCAATCGCAAGGGTTGAACTTGCGTTGGGGAAAGCAATCCCTAGATGGCTCCGCTGCCTCAGATTGAGGAACTACAACGAGCTCTGGATCAGCTAAAGGCTCAGCAAAATGAGCGAGGGCAGGTCGCAGAGGCATCTCCCTTTTCTCCGGCTGTGTTAGCCGTCCCTTTCCCATCCAGATTCAGAATGCCCGATATGCGGGTGTTCGATGGGAATTCTAATCCGCAAGATCATTTGTACGAATTTAACGACCTGATGGAACTTCACCAAGTTTCTGACTTGGCAAAATGCCGTTACTTAGCAGTAACTCTAATATCTCATGCCAAGCGATGGTTCAGGTCGCTCCCGACGGGATCGATCAGCTCGTGGAATCAGATGAGCTCGACATTCCTAAGACACTTCCAAGCGAACAGGAAGTTTTCAATGCCTTTGAGCTACCTCAGCAACATAAGGCAAGAGAGGGATGGATCCTTCCAATCTTACATCGATAGGTTCCATAGGGAACTTCATAAAGTAGCTCATACTCCTAAAGTGTCCATTCGGACTCTCATCATAGCAAGAGTTCATCCACAGATAGATCTATGGAAAGAGCTGTCGTCAGAGGACAATGTTTTCCTCACCCGCTTCTACAACCTTACGGAGAAATACCTCCGTATTGAGAACTCCGTGGCGACGCTCCACCGCCACGACCCCGGTCCTTTGGGCAGTGCGCCAGGTCGGGGGGAAAATAGGAGGGCTAATCACCGATGGGCTAATGTGATTAGCGAAAAGGAAAAAAGTAGCGGTTTGAGCCCAAGAAGTCTTATGCTCCAGTTCCTCGTCGGGATCGCGACAAGAGTCAATATACCCCTTTGAATGCATCTGTCTCAGCCATTCTTGACAAGTCAAAAGAGGCCGGACTACTCGGAGAACCTGAGCCCATGAAAAATCCCCCTTCAGCTAGAAACAGTAAAAAGTACTGTCGTTATCATCGGGACAATGGGCATTACACCGATGAGTGCTGAGCTCTCAAGCAAGCAATCGAAAAAGACCTTATCAAGCAAGGGCATTTCAAAGAGTATATTGATGACTCTCCTCCCGTAAGGGAGAAAAATCGAGAGGAACCGGGCAAGAAGCGTCGTGATCGCAAGGGTATCTGGAGCATGGGGATAATCTTTAGGGGACCACACCTCAGAGGGAATTCGCGAGGTGCCCAAGAAAGATATGCTCGCGCAGCCCATCACGACCCTATCCGTGTGATGAACACGACGCAGCGACCATCAAAGGTTCGCAGAGAGGAGGAAATAACCTTCTTCGAAAAAGACGCAGTCCAATTGCATCATCCTCATGATGATGCTCTCGTCATCACACCCTAAATAGGGCGCTGTGACGTCCACAAAATGTTGGTGGATAATGGAAGCGCTATGAACATCCTGTTCCAGCGAGCTTTCGAAAGATTGAAATTGGATGAGGCCGACCTGAAGCCTGCCTCTATCCCCCTATATGGTTTTACAAGGGATCACCTGATCCCCAAGGGAATGATCTTGCTTCCAATCATGCTGGGTGACTTCGACGAGGTGACCAGGGTCACTGAATTCTTGGTAGTGGATTGCCCCTCCGCTTTCAATGGCATCCTAGGGCGACCTCTACTAAGAAACTTCAAGGCAGTCACTTCGATCTACCATCTCAAGATGAAGTTCCCCACCCTGACGGGGATAGGGGAAGTAGGCGGATCTCAGCGTGCGTCTTGCGACTGCTATGTAAGGGCAGTGCAGATGGCGTGCAAAGGGAAAGACATCCCGCGTGGCATTCCCGAACAGGCAATGATGATCAGTCGGATCGAACCACAGCCTGGCCCAACTGAGGATAATATGGATCCTCTTATCTAGGAATGCCTTTCCAATGGGCCAGTTAAGGATCTATCGAAAGTGTCAGTCGACCAGAACGAGTCGAGCCGAGCTGAGTGTTGAGGATTGGAAACAATCTCAACCCTCAGCTCGCTACTGACCTATCCAGCTTCCTCAGAGAAAATATTGATGTGTTCGCATGTACGCATGCCGATATGGTCGGGATCAGCCCGAACTTCATTTGCCATGCCTTGAACATCGATAGTGAAACCAATCCGGTCCGCCAGAAAAGAAGAGCGATGGATCCAGAACGATATGCTGCCTTGAAAATCGAGATAGATAATCTCCTTCAGAATGGGTCTATCCGGGAAGCTCTCTACTTGAGCTGGGTTGCTAATCCGGTTCTAGTAAAGAAGCCCAATGGCAAGTGGCGGACTTGTGTTGACTTCACCGACCTTAACAAAGCTTGCCCAAAAGATAGCTTTCCCCTACCCAAGATCGACCAGCTCATTGATTCCACCTCCAGGCACGAGCTGCTAAGTTTTATGGACACATATTCAAGATACAATCAAATTCTGATGTATGCACCAGACGAAGAGTATACCTCATTTGTTACGGATCGGAGGCTGTATTGCTATAGGCTTATGCCCTTCGGCCTAAAAAACGCTGGACCAACTTACTAGCGGCTGGTTAACCGAATGTTTTCCAAGTAGATCGGGAAGTCGATGGAAGTCTATGTTGATGACATGCTAGTTAAGTCGCATGTCACTTCAGATCACATAGCGTATCTCGCTGAGATGTTCGATATCCTCCGGAAGTACAGAATAAAGCTCAATCCTTTCAAATGCTCATTCGGAGTATCCTCAGGAAAATTTCTAGAGTACATGGTTAACGAGAGGGGAATAGAGATCAACCTCGAGAAAATCCGAGCTCTCCTTGACATGAAAAGCCCGACCAACTGAAAACAGGTTCAGAGTCTCAGTGGCTGAATAGCGGTACTCAGTCGCTTCGTATCGAGGGCAACAGATCGCTGCTTGCCATTCTTCAATATACTCAGAGCCAATAAAAAGTCTGAGTGGACTCCCGAGTGCGAACAAGCATTCCAAAGCATCAAAGAGCACCTCGGACAGCCACCTCTTCTATCCAAGCCTCTCTCATAAGAAATTCTCCTATGGTATCTGTTCGTCTCTCAGTACGCGTTCAGTGAAGCTTTAGTTCGGGAAGAGAGCAAGGTTCAATGGCTAGTTTATTACGCGAGCAAGCGTCTATTGGATGCCGAGATGTGGTATCCGAAAATGGAGTGATTGGCTTATGCCCTGCTGATCACCTCCAGAAAGTTAAGACCTTACTTCCACGCCTACACAATCATGTAATGACCAGTTACCCGCTCAAGCAAGTCCTCTAGAAGCCAGTGGCATCGAGTAAATTGCTCAAGTGGGCCATGGAACTAAGTCAGTTCGATCTGCAGTATAGACTGAAGGCAACTATCAAAGGGCAGGCTGTTGCCGAATTCATCTTAGAATTCTCATATCACCCAATAAAGGAATTCGAGCAACAAGCCAGCAAAGTCACCCAGGAAACTGTTTAGAACCTGTCAACCTAGAGCCTATACGTCGATGGATCATCGAACAGGAAAAGGGCCAGGGCAGGCCTTCTCTTCCTAAGTCTCGAAAGGATTCACATTCATGGCATTCTCTATTTAGGGTTCAAAGCGACCAACAATGAGGCCGAGTATGAAGCTCTGCTCGCTGGATTGTGGTTGGCAAGAGAAATGGGATCAACCGTGATCAGCATCCACAACGACTCCATGCTGGTT